AATTGTGTACAAGAACTTAATTTCTTTTTTTCCCCTGTCCCATTAACCTTCTTGTGATCCCTCAGATACAGCTTGTGACCCATTGGAGGGATACTGAACCTTACGCTGGGAATCACTAATCTAGTAAATGTGAAAATGTTGATTACCTCACATCTTTCATATCTTTCCCCTCCATATAACCCTTCCGGTGTCTTCCATTTCTCTCAGTCTCTCAGTCTCTCTCTCTCTCTCTCTCCCTCTCTCTCTCCCTCTCTCTATCTCTCTCTCTCTCTCCCTCCCTCTCTCCTAGAAGTCCTAGGCTCCATTTAGACATGTTATCCTGTCGGATCAGTCACTTGATCATAAGCTGCTTCCTCCCACTCATTCACTCCCTCTGTCAGTCCCTCATCCTCTAATTCTCCCTGCCAGTTCAATTAAATCCAGTGGACTTAATTCAATTAATTTCAGTTCAGTTAAACCCAACAAGCTTTAACTGCATGAAAGTCATGAAATCTATATTGCCAAAGCGACTAAGAACAATGAATGAAACGGGTACTTCTTCTGTTGACTTCTGTTGTTCAGCTTTTTAACCTTGATATCTGAACTTTATTTAAATATTATGAGACATAACAAAGCCCTACAGTTAAAAGGATTAAATGAATTACATTTTTAAAAATTACATTTTGTCAGTATTTTATTTTGGAAGACCATTCAGCAGTTCCTTTTTAATTGTGAGTTTAAATGTTGTGTTTTAAAATGTGCGTGTGTTTATATACGTGTTCGTACACACAAGCAGGTACACATTTCTTTCTGGATACGAGGGAGAAATAAACTGGACGATGCACTTCTTGCCATATAGAAAAACTCACACATTGTAGGCTGTAAGTTATTTAAGGTGCAGAATAAAGTAGAAAAGTATGTTCCACGACAAAAATTCACTTTGTGGGCTAAACTTCGTTATTATTTTGTGCACCATATTTCATGCCTTAAACTGAACTATATACAGTAGCCTATGTGTTTTGGTGGTTTGAATTCCTGGCTGACTGTATACTGGAAATCAACATATCTCATGCATTACAATGTATTTATAGCTCAGATACTACGGAATCGACATGAACTCCAGGATAAGATTAACAGATCGAGTCCAGAAAATCTCTGTGCATAGAATAAAAAATGTAAGAATTTAAAGCTACTATAATTTACGTGATTATATGGTCTTTTGTCTGATAGCAGATGTAAAACAAATAGATTATATAGATATTATAGGAGAAAGTTGGTGCAGTCTGTAAGTTTTCTTAGCCATTTTATTCTCAGATATGTTCAAAAATGTGTTTACATTACGTGTATTTAGTGAACAAGAAAAAAATAGCAACAAGAAACAACATCACTGCCCTCCAGTGGTAGAAAAGTACATTCACTCAAATACAGTACTTCAGTACAATTTTGACATTTTACATTATTTTTACATTAAGAAAAAGATATAATAGGTTTGTATATACAATTCATTGTTAAAGGCTGAACCAGTGATTCACAACCTTTTTAGCTTCTGACCTCTTGCAAAAAAGCAGACTCTACTGTCTCAGATGTTTTTGTAATTATCAAAATCTAAATCTGTTTATGAAATTATTCAATATTTCATGAAAACAGAAATACATATTTGTGTAATTATTTCCCCCTACCGCATTAATCTTCTTATGACCCCACAGATTTATGTTGTGACCGTTATGAGGGGCCCGACCCTGGACAAAGCCTTAAGAGGTGATAAACTTTAGCTCCACCTCAACCAGCTACAACAGCGAAATGCTGATATTATATATATTTATTTATAATTTATTTATATGGAGTGTGTAATTTCTGTAACAGTCTTGAGAATGTACCTCTCTGTACGTGACAGACCTTGACAGCTACTGGTGGAGGTGTGTATGAGTTCAGCCTCGACAGGACAGATTGAATTTTATCCACATTTCTACACAATTGTTATTAGGGACATAAAATGATACAAACATCCTTAGAGGTTTTCTCCACAGGATTGTATTGACGGGACTTCGCTGCTGTATCAAACTCCTCTCGTCGGCCAATTTCACTGCTTTACACGAATTAAACATCATCCTATAACACAAAGACCAGACCCAGACAAAGAGACACACTCATCTACCCTGCTGTTGCCTTCCTTGTGATCAAATGATGCCTGAATTATTCATATGAAATAGAGGGGAAATCGTTTTTAATGCGGCTAATGATATTATAAGCTGTTACTTAATAGCTTGTGACCTTTTTAGTATGGGAGACAGGGCGTGTTTAGACAAGGTTTGAACATTGACATTTGAGACAGGGAGTGGCCCAAAAGAGGTGGTCTCTGGGTAATGAGGTCTTGCTGAGAGGAAACCAACTTTTTGACCTTCTTGTGGTCTTTGCCCACAGTTTGTACTGTGTGTGTTTGTGTGTTTGGATATGTGCTCTAAAGAGACTCACCCATAAACTTTACAAGTCCCAGTTCTCAAAAAAAAAAAATATATATATATGTATAGGGGATGGGAAACCATAAAGACCAGATGTGACAATAAGAGCATGAACATGAAGCAACAAAAAGCTCATAAAAACAAGCACAGCAGGTACATTTTAAGTTAATTGGCAGTATAGTACCCAGTGAGAGAAAGAAGACAGTAACTGGGTATTTCCTCTGTGAGACAGATGCCATCAATGCTCTCAGTTTGAATAACAGCTCTACCTGAATCTGATTTGGGATTTCTGGTAGTGATAAAACAAATAATCAACCGATGTCTGCCCTCACAAGGCAGATAAACAAAAAATGTCTTGTGTGTGGCTGCTGTGAAACAATGTTAGCACTCCCCTTGAGAGTTTTGGGAAGGTGGTAAAAAAGTTGGTTTTGGAAGCATTTCTGTATACTAAAAACTTTCCTTTTTTATGTCTCACATTGTAAACCTATATCAATCCCCTATATTTTAACAGCATTCAGAAATATACAAAGTTAAACTAAACATAACTTAACTCAGGCGTTGTTAACTAACATTAAGTGAATAGCACTGAACTGAACCGACTAAACAAACTGAGATATGGGAAAACTAAGTTATCAGACACACAAGGGAATAGACTAAGGCAGAACCATTTAAACTAACTACAATATACACTAAACATGACAAAGTAACGCAACCTAATATTAACAATGGAAAAATAATGAAACAATCATATAAAAAAAATCAAACTAGAAAACACTTCCCCTCCACATGATGCAGAACATGGTGCAGTCCAACTGGCAATCAAGATCACTCCTGTAGTTGGCAACACACTTCCAGCAGCAACCTTCAGGAACTGGTAACTCAAAGAAAACTGAATTAATTTCATGAAAATTAAAGTTAAAGTTAACAAACCTTATAATATTAGCAAAGCTGACAAAGAACGTTAACTAAATGTGTGCACTCCAAATAAATAACTATTGTCCAGTTATTTCTGTTTGTGCACAGTGTTCTGCTGAAACCTAAACTAAATAAAACAGATCTCTGGTCACCTTTTTCCTCTGTCTGTTATGAGTCTGTTCACCCTGCAGTGAGAAATCAGACTGTGGATATTCTGCAGATAATGTTGAAGGTGCAACATAAAGCAATGTCTGACTTACATTCAGAGAGAGTCATATCATCAAAATACTTAATGGCCTTTACACTTGATCTTTTTTGAGCTTATGGTTATATAATACAGTTCAACTTACATAAAAGCTATAATCTTTATTTGGATGGCACAGATATTAAGGATTAACTGTATCACACTCCGACTCATCCAATGCCTTGGACAGCTCGAACACAGGACGGGGCAGTTTCTGCCCTTTGTAATGAAATGGTTTTGAAATTTACCAGAGTTCTGAGGTCAAAGTCATTATTTATATTAAATTCATTTGAACTGGACTGGCAAGAAGAAACAACCACAATACATACCTGTTGATTAGGTTTGGATTCGGATCAGGCTGAAGGAGGAGGGTAAATGCACGTATTGTAACTTCGTTTGGACTGCCAAATGGATGTTCTGTAATGTAATGCAATCTCAATTTAGTCAATTAAGTATTGTACTTCAGTATAGATTTCAAGGGTATTTACTTGAGTATTTCCATGTTATGCCACTTCCTACTTCTACATTTATCTGACCAAATCGTATTATGTTTTATGTTTTGCATACAAAGCATGTGTATAAAATACTTTGTTATAAATTTAAACTACCAAACAGTATAAACATGTACAAGTAGAGCTGAAACAATTAGTCGATTACTCAATTAGTCAAGTGACAAAAATTCAACTGGCAAGTAATTTTTAATGCAGAGAAACATTTAATTCAATTGAATAATCGAAATAATCAGCTGATTAATCCATAATGAAAATAATGATTAGTTATAGTCCTATACAGAAAAATTAATTAAATTTAAATTAATTAAAAATGAGCTCCACCTCAACTAATTTCAACACTGAAATTTGAATAATAATCGAATATAGCCTATGCATTGAGTACTTTTAATACGAAGTACATTTCCCTGATAATTTTACTCAAGTAAAACATTTCAATGCAGGACTTTTACTTGTATCTTTACTGTGTTGAAGGCTATAAGTACTACTTTCCTTAAGTAAAGGATCTGAATACCTCCTCCACTCCACCACTGTTGTGGACAAAAACTGCTTAAACACAAATCATGATTGCTTATATCAAATAACAACAGAAGAAAGTATAATGCTGTTTATAAACAGCCTACGTGCCCTGCTCATACATATCAGCTTGGCAGCCTTTGACAGATTTATCTGATCAAGGCTAAAACCTGATTGAACCTGAATTCATAAGATTTTATTCTCCATTGCGTCTGTGTGAGTGGTGACAGGGAGCAGCTGCATCAGGACCACTCTCTCTGCCTCACTGGTCACATGTTAACACTCATGCGCGTATGTTGTGCATCGGAGGTGCCAAAGTGATTTATGTCCCCTTCCAGCTGCGGACTGAAGCATAGCCCGAGTAAGGATACGTGAGGAATGGCCTCTGAACGGGATGCATCCAACACAACCAGAAATCTGACCAACCAGTTCGTGCAGCCGGCGTGGCGCATCGCGCTGTGGTCGGTGGCTTACAGCACCGTGCTGGCTGTGGCGGTTTTTGGAAACTTGATTGTGATTTGGATTATTCTGGCGCACAAACGGATGAGAACTGTTACCAACTATTTCCTGCTGAACTTGGCTTTCTCAGATGTGTCCATGGCCGCGTTCAACACGCTCATCAACTTCATCTACGCGGCTCACGGAGAGTGGTACTTTGGAGAAGTGTACTGCAGGTTTCACAACTTCTTCCCTGTCACTGCGGTGTTCGCCAGCATCTACTCCATGAGCGCGATAGCCATCGACAGGTAGTGACTGTATGAGGAAGATGATATTATATAGCAGGCAGGGAAGTGTTATTAGTATTTATTTCAAGATTTTACAATGTGAGATATTTTGCATTTTACGATAATTACACAGATTGTTGAGTCAGTTTACCTTGACTTATTTAAGAATAGCCTACATGAGTTTGAAGCCATCTTTCTACTGAAGATGGTTGTTGCATTGCAGATTGCATTGCCTTGAATGAAAATGAACGGATCTGTGCTGTGGATCAAATGCATATATAAAGTATGACCCTAATTACTTAGGGTCATTACTTTGAACTTTCTTTACAAATATATTCATCTGAGCAATACAGTGAGTGAGTCACAGTAGCCCATTCTGCAAAATGTCAGCTGTGATAATGGCCCTGCTTATAAACCCCTTAAGTTTGTGTATCAGGGTCGCATTAAGTGCAACATACCAAAACTGTTGTGTTATGTTACTAGCATAAAGGCCGATGTTGTGACCTTTGACCTGCAGGTACATGGCCATCATCCATCCTCTGAAGCCTCGTCTGTCGGCGAAAGCCACTATGGGAGTCATCGTCTGTATCTGGAGTCTGGCCGTGGTTCTGGCCTTCCCTCTCTGCTACTTCTCCACCACCCGAGCTCTGCCCCGCAGGACCCTCTGCTATGTGGCCTGGCCCCGCATGGCTGACGACCCCTTCATGTGAGAACACTGACAAACCCTCCTTTTTTTTTTATAGTTTATGTCAAACCTCATCATCATTATCATGGCAAAGTTGGGCTGCAATCTTGTTCCTTGTACAGTATGTATTGCTATACTGTATGTATTGGTTCATTCTCTCTTCATCCTACTTGTTAGTGTACTACTTCAGTCACACCAGTTAAAATACATATGTTTCTCCACATTTGCAGGTATCACATCATAGTGACAGTTCTGGTGTACGTGCTACCTTTAGTGGTGATGGGCATCACTTACACCATCGTGGGGGTGACACTGTGGGGAGGCGAGATCCCAGGAGACTCATCTGATAACTATCATGGACAGCTCAGGGCCAAACGGAAGGTAAACACCACCTTTATTTATTACATTTACTTTCTATATTGACACTTTTTCTCTTGATTTAGTTTGTGTCTTTAGAAGGGAAGCCGACAGGTGTATTTGTGACCAGATTATGTACACATGTACATGAGGTTTCAAATGTAATTTATGGATCAAGTTAAGATTCTAAAATTCTAAAAATTGTGTATAACTGGCAGATATAATTACACATTTCTTCTTCGACTACTTTTCTACTTAACTACTTACCTTAGACAAGTAAAAAATATAATTGAATATAAGTGTAATAAAACACTGATATGATGAATTTCATATGCTATTTTGTTATTGTTGTGCTTTTTGTTATTTGTTTTCTTTTTGTTTATGTGTATTTGTGACAATTTTGTTTTGGTTTACCTTTCATGGTTTTATCTATGCTGTGTTTTAAATTGTTCTTTATTTCTATTGCTATTATCTTTGTGTGGACCCCTGGAAGACTAGTAACCACTTTATGAAAGAATAAAGGTAACTCTATATTTGTATAGTCTACCTATACCGATAGTTTGTAGAGTATTTGTAAAATTTTCACCTCATTAGTTGAGATTAAACAGCTCTTTCTGATATTACACCACTGTGGTTAATGTTTGATTAAGGTCCAAAAATATCTTGGTTAAGTTGGTTCATGAATTGTCTTTAATACTTTGTAGGTAATCTGTTAAACATCTAGACAAAGCGAAACAGTTAAAATGTTACAAATACTAAATAAACTATCTATAGGTGGACAATCCAAGTAAATTATCACCAGAATAAATCAAACATATAGGGAGATAAAGGATTGAGGTTTAAGCCAATTTATTTGAAAGCATCTTCACATTGAGAATATTTTTTAAAAATAAAAACCATAAAATGTTACAGAAAAGACAAAAACTCCTCCGTTGCAGTTGTATCTGAACCTCTTGCCATCTTAAGTGGTCTTTAATGTACTCTAATGTACTCTCCCGGGAGCATGAACACCAGTCCACAACAGCAATGACGTCAATGACGACTTGTGTAGTAAGACCTCTGCTGGTGGAGAGGAAGCGAGACACATAACGCAGGGAGCTAAAACAAATGCAATCAGGTCTCTGTGGTCTGACAACACACCGTGGACCACTTACAGCTTAGATCAATAAAATGTGTCATGCGGAGCTGCAAAAACACATTAGTTCAGTGCTGTGAGGGTAATTCACACTTCACTATCTGAAAACAGAGAAATGCACCTTAGTTAGTTTAAGTGCACTTTATGTTGCCATGTATTAATACAGGCTTTTACAGCCTAGAAGAAGAGAACAGCATCCAGAGGCACTTGTTCCACTGTAGTTAGACGTCATCAGTCAGACACAGTGTGCTTTGCCGCGGATACTCAGGGAGAGCGAGGTCGGGTTAACCAGGGATTAAGGTCATCACAGCTGTCATGGAGAGCATCTATCACGACAACCCTGAGATTACCGCGAAAGAATATTGAGAAATATCACAAAATACATCATAAATGCTGCAGGGTAACATGTCGGATTATTTACAGGGTCAAAGGGTTAGGCTGCGGAAGTATTCAGTGTCAAAGGATATTTTGGATCACATTTGAAGAATTAATTTTCTTCATAGTGAGCAACTTATTTTTAACAATGGTCCAATTAAACTAATATTTACAAGAAATGTGAATCTAAACTACAAAACAAAATAACAGAAATAGAAACTTGAAAATAGATTTCCCCCCTAGACCTATTTTTTTGGTACCACTAACCATTCAGTGCACAGAAATAGAGACAGGTGATGGTTTGCCATTTACAATCTTTGAGAGGGCTTTAGAAAAAAATAACTCATCAGAGGCTCAGATTGCTGGCAAAACTGAGTTGTGAGAGATAAAAGGGATTTATAAATGTCAGGAAACAAAGCTACAAGACAATGTCAGGCTTGATTCAAAAGCCCGCGTTGACAAGATGACATCTGGGCCGGAGATAAGAGGAAGTCGTCTCTCTCATCTCCGTCTAGCAGATGAGCTTCTTCTGATGTTATAATAGTTGCCTGCTCCTTTTAACCCCCCACAGCTCTGCATTGTGCTGCGACACGCTGATGAGGTCTGTGCCGCTCTCTCATCTGTCCTATCTGGGACCTGCTGGGTCTGGTGCGTCATCACTGACCTTTCCCTCTCTTCATACGGCAGCCATTCTGAACTCATTAAAATGGACACACTATTGTGATCAGAAAGAAGGAAAACAAACAACACACTCGTAACTTTTGAGAGAATGTGCATACGAAGAGCAGCCATGGCTTCAGATGTTCAAAATCACAGTTAATTAGCCTTGAGAGAATGTTTTGCTTCCATAATTCGATGTTTTTTCCATTGCAGAGTGTGGATGCGGTGCAGGAAGGAATTTTTGGAAGTATAAAACAATGGTTTATGAGTCAGTGAAAAAAAAGCTGAATGTTTGCAACATTTATGAGGATGTATTGGTAGAAATGGAATATGGACAAACCAACAGAGCATTATCAGAGGTTATTTGCCAGTAAAGTTAAGAGGAACCTTGACCTCTAACCTTTGTGATCGATAGACAAGCAGTCTCAGCACTTCAATCAACCGCATTTCATCTTCCAACTCACTGTTCGCAACCAGCCATCATACAAAGTTAGCAACTTGCTAACATAGTTAAGCATTTAGATGATTTTATGATATGAGATGTTGTGCTAGCTTGTTCCACTGCTCCTAGGTGCCAAAAAACAAACATACCCAAATTCAGTTTAGGCAGCTACTATTGGCTACATTGTTGAACTTCATTAAGGTTCAAAAACACACCTGTGCTTGCCTGTAACACTGAAGAAAGTAAGTAGTATCTAATGCTGTCCTGCTAATAGATTTGAATTTTTCTGTCCTTTCACTTGCAGGTGGTGAAGATGATGATCATCGTAGTGGTGACCTTTGCCCTCTGCTGGCTGCCCTATCATGTCTACTTCATTGTGACGGGTCTCAACAAGCTTCTGAACAAGTGGAAATACATCCAGCAGGTTTACCTGTCAGTGCTGTGGCTGGCAATGAGCTCCACCATGTACAACCCCATAATCTACTGCTGCCTCAACAGCAGGTGAGTACAGTTAAGTCTCCCCCACAACCCCAAAACACAAATGTAGGTACTGTATATGTACATGATTTGATTTGGCTGCAGGTTCCGGGCCGGCTTCAAGCGGGCTTTCCGCTGGTGTCCCTTTGTCCGGGTCTCAAGCTACGATGAGCTGGAGCTCCAAAACACAAGACTTCGACCGGGTCACCAGAGCAGCATGTGCACCCTCTCTCGGGTCGACACCAGCATCCTCAGCAAAGACAAGAGCACTTGTTCCCGTGGAAACAGGTCAAGACTCAACTCTGAGCCCAATAATAAAGACAATTAGTTGTCTCCACTGGACACACTCCAACTGAGTGCTTTGGCACATTATTTTGAGCTGACAAATGCTAATGGCCTGTTTTTTGTTCACTTATAGAGCTGATAAATGTTAATTAAAGAGGCCATATTATTCAGATTCGTATTCTTGTGTTGGGAGTGTAAACCTATAATTACAGTTTAAAATAATTACAGTTTGAATCAGTGCCTGAATTGGACCCAAGAAGGTGCCAGTACACTAATTCAGTACAACCCTAACCTTACACACAAGGTTACAACACAACATCACCCTGGGCTTTGTTAACAAGGATATTTTCAGAGCTGTTTTCTTAGCATTAAGCTAGAATACAAACGAGACATGTCAAAAAGTTGAGGAGCAGTGCTCTCTGTGGGAAACAGTAACTCCCTTTTGCATGGACTTTGCAGACCTTCTACATGCACACAAAAGCTATATAACACATTAAAGGAAAGGGAAAATGAACGTTTATAAATCTGGACATAGCGTTGATTTGTACACTATACTAGAGATCTTCAAATTTAAGGGAGGAGTGTGAAAGTTGAGGAAGAACATGAAGTAAAGATACTGCATACATGACATGAAAGGGACAGATGCATGTTGGTGCTCTAACGAGAAGTTAGTTCATATAGTTTGACCCATTTCACTATCCATCGCAAAAGAATGTCTATAAACCTGCTTACAAATCATAGTAATAAGACGTTCTTTATAACTGCATCATCAAGTTTTTTCAGTATCAAAGTACTCCAGTGATAGTTGTTTTTATATCGATGGGTACATTTCAAACAAGGACTGCTAATAATCTTAATAGTGCCAATTTGCCAAAATGCAAAAAAATACAAGGTTGGGGGTTGTCTCTGTAGCTGAGTGAGTAATGTCAGCAGTGGTGGAGCACTTTATCAAGATTCAGTTTTATATCAGTATTATCCTGTTATATTAGATATAAGAAAAATATCTGATTTCTTTTGACATTAATGCCTTTCATTTAATTGATTTGAACATTTCATTTCAGAGGTTCAACTGTTTTAAATGATAAAATGCTGCTGATGACTAGTTTGAACATTTTATGTGCAATCTTACATTTATTTTTATTTATTATTTTGTTATTTAGTATCCTAAAATGTATCTTCGTGGGCTTGTTTGTGTAAATAGACAAAATAATGTGAGGCAAAATTCAATTTTGCAAAAAAGGATTATTTCAACCAGTCATTGAGAGACAATTGATTAATGTATATGTACATTTTCAACATTGGTATTAAGTGTTCACTATTTCCTTGATATATTGGTCACTAAATTAATTTGAGGGGGTGTTGCATGTTTATGTACATTCTTGGGTTTAATCATTTGAAAGCTATTGATGTTTCTGTTGTAAAACATGATTGATGGTAGAATACATTTTGAAGATGTTTTAAATGTCTGTATGATAATGTTATACTATATTTAAAATATATATGTTTTTGATATACAGTATATTTAAAATAATTTATATCTTTTTTACTTTTGTCAAAAACCAATGGTCCACAATTAATCACTCGTTCTTATCGACTTCTCTGTTAAGACAACAAATACAAAAATATTTGTGACTGCTTATTCACATCTGTTGGTAAAAAAGCTCAAAGTCATAAATCTCTATATTATCTTTTTCACCACAAGAAATGAAGATACTTTGTCAGCATCATGAATTAAATACTTTAAGCTGCTTTTGACATTTTATAATCACATTTGTTTGATGTTACACTCAGTGTGCTATTATATAACATAGTAGTATATGCATTTGATTAAAGTGGTGCTTAAAGTGGATTTCATCAACAATAACTGTAGTAACAGTATTAATGCTGCTCTACCAGAGAAAATACCCATAAGTCTATTACAGTGACACTGATATTAATGATCCTGGTTGAATGTTACCTGCATTTTATGACACAATGTAAGTTCACAAGTGCTTGCTGCTGTAATTTCTGTTAGTTGAAGAACGCATGTGCCATTTTCTAATGGTTTTGGGACTGTTTAAACGTTAGTTTTTATTGTAAGTATGATTTTGTGGTTTAAGTGTATGTACAGTATGTGTTAGAATATTTTGGTGCCGAACACACATAGACACAAATTATATGAATTATTGCCTTTATGGTGAATTTGTGTTTTTGTTTTGTTGTTTTATGACATAAAATGACAATAAAAGATCACATTGGCTGTGTGTGTGTAATCAACCAGATTGTTATATTTTATTTGAATGACTTACAATGATAGTTTATCAGATCAGGAAGTGAACTTAAAAGTGCTGTTCTGTGGGGCGTTGACCAACAACAGTTCACACTGATGATGGTACTGATACTTTAAGCTGCTTTTGACATTTTGTAATTGCAGTTGTTTGATGTTACACTCAGTGTGCTATTATATAACATAGTTTTGATTAAATTGGTGATTAAAGTGGATTTCATCAACAATA